TCCAGCACTTGTTCAAGCAGAAGGATCTCAATTTGAGGCAGCGGAGATGGTTAGAGTTGCTAAAGGATTATGATATCACTATATTGTACCATCCGGTGAAGGCCAATGTGGTGGTCGATGCCTTGAGCCTAAAGGGGTGAGTATGGGGAGTTTGGCATATATTCCAGTTGTGGAGAGACCTCTTGCAGTTGATGTTCAGGCCTTGGCCAATCGGTTAGTGAGGTTGGATATTTCGAAGCCCAGTCGAGTATTGGCTTGTGTGGTTTCTCGGTCTTCCTTATATGATCGCATCAGAGAGAGCCAGTATGATGATCCGCATTTGTTTTTCCTTAAGGACAGAGTTCAGTATGATGATGCCAGAGATGTGACTATTGGTGATGATGGGGTGTTGGGGATGCAGGGTCGGATATGTGTGCCCAATGTGGATGGGCTTTGGGAGTTGATTCTGGAGGAGGCCCACAGCTCTCAGTATTCCATTCATTCGAGTGCCGCGAAGATGTATCAGGATTTGAGACAGTATTATTGGTAGAGGAGAATGAAGAAAGACATTGTGGGATTTGTAGCTCGGTGTCTCAATTGTCAGCAGGTGAAATATGAGCATCAGAGACCGGGTGGCTTACTTCAGCGGATGGATATTTCAGAGTGGAAGTGGGAGCAGATCACCATGGACTTTGTAGTTGGGCTCCCACGGGCTTTAAAGAAGTTCGATTCTATTTCGGTGATTGTAGATCGGCTGACCAAGTCCCCACATTTCATTCCTGTGTGTACTACCTATTCTTTAGAGCGGTTGTAAGAGTTCTATATCCAGGAGATTGTTCGTTTGCATGGTGTTCTAATTTCCATCATTTCAGATAGCGGCACTCAGTTTACTTCCAGTTTTGGAGGTCTATGCAATGAGAGTTGGGTACTCAGGTTGAGTTGAGCACAACTTTTCACCCTCAGACGGACGGGCAGTTCGGATGCACTATTCAGATATTGGAGGACATGTTGTGTGCTTATGTCATTGATTTCGGAGGGTCATGGGATCAGTTTCTACCGCTTGCAGAGTTTGCTTATAACAACAGGTACTAGTCGAGTATTCAGATGGCTCCATATGAGGCTTTGCATGGGAGGCGGTGTAGATCTCCAGTTGGTTAGTTCGAGCTGGGTGAGGCTAGGCTATTGGGGACAAACTTGGTGCAGGATGCTTTAGAAAAAAGTGAAGGTAATTCAGGAGAGGCTTCGTACAGTGCAGCCGAGACAAAAGAGTTATGCCGACAAGAAGCTTTGAGATGTGTCTTACATGGTTGGTGAGAAGGTTCTGTTGAAGGTTTCACCCATGAAGGGTGTTATGAGATTTGGGAAGAAAGGTAAGTTGAGTCCTCGATTCATTGGGACTTTTGAGGTGCTTCGGAGGATTGGGGAAGTGTCTTATGAGCTTGCTTTGCCACCCAGCTTGTCGAGTGTGCATCCAATATTTCATGTTTCTCCGTTCCAGAAGTATATTGGTGATCCGTCTCATGTTCTAGATTTCATCACGGTTCAGTTTGATAATGATTTGACCTATGATGTGGAGCCAGTAGCTATTTTAGGTCGTCAGGTTCTGAAGTTGAGATCAAAGGATATAGTTTTAGTGAAAGTGTAGTGGAGAGGTCGGCCCATGGAGGAGACTACCTGGGAGACCGAGCGGGAGATGCTGACCAGATATCCTCACCTGTTTGAGGCTTCAGGTATGTTTCTTGGCTCGTTCGAGGACGAACGTTTGTTTAAGTTGGGGAGGATGTGATGACTCGGCCAGTCATCTCATGAGTTACCACTCTGTTTCCCCCATTTCTGCTTCTTATTGATTTGTCTATCGGTTCTATGAGTGATCGGGTTGGTTGGCTGGGGTTCGGAAAGGTTTTGAGAAGGTTTGAGACACTTAATCTCTTTTGAGGAAGTTTAAGTTGGAAAAGTCAACCGGATGTTGACTTATGTATTAGAGGGCTCGAATGTGAATTCCGATGATTCGGATAGCTTCGAGAGGTGATTTGAGACTTAGGAGTGTGATCGGAATGTGTTTTGGAGGTCCGGAGTAGATTTCGGCTTGAATTGGCGAAATTGGATTTTTTGGCATTTTCCGGTTGATAGGTGAGATTTTGATATAGGGGTCGGAATGGAATTTCGAGAGTTGTAGTAGTTCTGTGGTGTCATTTGGGATGTGTGTGCAAATTTTCAGGTCATTCGGACGTGGTTTTGTTGGGTTTTTGATCAAAAGCGGAATTCTGAAGATTTTGGAAACTTAAGCTTGAATCCGATGAGTTTTGGTTGATTTGATGATGTTTGAGGTGCTTTGAAGATTGGTATAAGTTGAATAAGGTTGTGGGGTATGTTTGTGTTTTTGTTTGAGGTCCCGGGGGCCTCGGGGTGATTTCGGATGGTTGACGGAGAGTTTGGGAGTTTTCAGAAGCTGCAATTTTTTTTGCTGCTTCTGTTGTTTCCGCACCTGGGGATTGGGGACCGCAGGTGCGACGCCGCAAATGCGGAAGATCGGTCGCAGAAGCGGAAGACGGTGAAGTTGGCAGGAACCGTAGAAGCGATTGTGGGACCGCACCTGCGGTGGCGCAGGTACGGACTGTTCATCGCAGATGCGGAAGCTGGGGAATAAGTGAATAACTGCAGAAGCGGCTCTTGGACCACAAAAGTGGTACCGCAGATGTGGTAGATTGACCGCAGGTGCAAATATTCCTGGGTCAGAATGTATATATTCCTTCCTTCGCGATTTTCAGAGGGTTTCACCATTTTTAAACGCGAATTTTGGAGTTTTGGGTGATTTTAAAGAGAGAATTCAAGGAGACTTCATTGAGGTAAGGATTTTGGACCTAAAACTTGTTCCTATGGTATTATTCACGGATTAGAGCTATAATTAATGGAATTTAAGAGTTAAAATTGGGAAAACTATGGTTTGGTATTGGAGACCTAGACTTGAGGATTTGAGGGACCATTTGTGGTCGGATTTTGGTACTTTTGATATGTATGAACCGGTGGGGAGATAAGGAATCCATTTATGTTAATTTTATTGCATTCTGAGATGTGGGCCCGGGGGTCGGGTTTTGGTAATTTCGGGATTTAAGTTGTAAATTGATTATTTTTGATTGGGCTTCGTTCCCTTAGAATATTTTGACATCGGGATTCTGATTTTGGATAGATTCGACGTGAGTGGAGGCCGATTCGGGCAGAGGCGTCGTAGGCTAGAGATTTGACCGGATTGAGGTGAATAACTGCAGAAGCGGCTCTTGGACCACAAAAGTGGTACCGCAGATGTGGTAGATTGACCGCAGGTGCAAAACTCAACCATATTTACTCTGTTTTAACACTTAAATGATATTTTTAAATAATATTCTGGGCTGAGCATCATGTTTTATTGTTGCCCGAGTGGCTTGTGAGATTTGACTAAGTAAGGCCGAGGGCACATGTTGTGAGGAAACACTAATTATGATTATGAGGCCGAGGGCCTGAGATTTGTACGCCACAAGGTAGCTTGTTAATATGAGGCCAATGGCCTAGTGATGATGCCACGAGATGGCTTGATATTGCGCTTTGGCTAAAAGGGGGCCCTCCAGGAGTCTGCACACCCCCAGTTAGCGCGGGTATCCATTGTGATGTGAGATATAGCCCAATGGGCTAGTATTGTTGACATTGTGCCCGAGGGGCAATCCTTTATGTGCTTATCTGTCTTATTTGTCTATCATTTACTTGCTTAATTGTTAAAAACGCATTTTATAAAGTTTGAACTGAATTAAAATGACTTTACACATTATCATTGCTTCACTGTTTTACTAGCTTTTACTGCTTCCGTATAGCCTATAATTTGCCTTACATGATTTCTTGCTTTCAGTCTTTATTTATGATTACTACTCACTGAGTTGGAGTACTCACTTTACTCTCTGCACCTCGTGTGCAGATTCAGGCGTTGCTGATCCTACTAGCACAAGTTGAGAGCTCCCGACAGACTTCGGAGTTCACGAGGTAGCTGTCTGGCGTCCGCAGTCCCGTGTTTCTCCCCTTTATCTCATTTCTTTTCCCTTATTAGTGACTTTGTAACAGCTTTGTACACTTTTCAGACTTGTGTTAGAATTGATAGATGCTCATGACTAGTGACACCCCGGTATCGGGTTGTGTTGGGTTTTATTTTCGTAAACTGTAATATCTACTGCTTACTTTTGGATTAGTTTATTATATTTTAGACTTAATTCGTATTGTTTAACTGCTTAAAACTGAAATGGAAATGTGTCGGCTGGCCTTGTCTTCACGAGAGGTGTCATCACTGTCACACCTCTTTTTTTACACACCCCTGGAAGGGTGTATATAAGGGAGTTTCTCCAATTAAAGGACAATCGAAATGGGGTTATTGTTAAATGATTCAGAGTCGCCACTTGGGAGATTTATGGTATCCCAAGTCACCAGTTTAGAATCCCGAATCGAGGAAAGATTGACTCTATTTAACAGTCCGCGAACTAGAAATCTGGGTAAGGAATTCTGTTAACCCGGGAGAAGGTGTTAGGCACTCCCGAGTTCCGTGGTTCTAGCATGGTCGCTTTGATTATACTTGGCTTAACTAAATTGTTTAAATACTGAACTTAGAACCTATGTGCTTTTGTCTATTAACCGCTTTTGAATCACTTGATTATTCGTAATTAAAGAATTGAGTTACGCATACGTATACTCTTTTCCTTTGGCGCGTTAAAAATCATGTCACGCGAACATGTCCATAATTAATAATGCTTTTTATTGTTTATTCAAGAAAAATTGGCGAAAGTTGCGCGAACGCATACTCCGATTTTGTTTTTAGAGATCGCAATCATGTCACGCGAACGTGTCCACAATCACAATGATAATATCAAATATTAAATAATAGATGGAGTAAAAGAAAATGCATTAAAATATAAGAAAAGCCGATTAAGACTTATGCAATTCTACGATGCACTACCTTGACAAAAACTTATAAAATCCACTTAAACCAAGTCAAATACTCCCGAGACTATCCAAAAAAAAATTCTGATGCACAGAATGATAAATTCTCTTCAACATTGTAAATGAGCACATGTGCTCGTGAAATGGATAATGTTAAATGCCTATGACACAACTAATTCGATCCACTCAACATATAACAATATTAATTTTCCAATGAAGTGGTAATTTAATAATCCAAGAGAAAGAAGCTTAGCACAGACGTGTATTGCGAATCACACTTCAACAAAATTCACACCCCTGCTCCGTACAACTCAAGCCATCGTATGTGAATCACAATTCCAGATGCATACCCTTTACATAAAATTAAAGTGATAGGTGAGAACAACTACTTCATGAAGGGATTAATTAAGCCTCTTTAGCTTTCCGTGTAAACGAGTCCCAGCTAATATCTCTTCCATTAACAATGATTTCAAACAAAAATTTTATCAACTATGAGTGTCTCATAAATTGCTTGAATTAGCTCACATGTAACTATTGACTCGACAGAGATCACCATGAACCTAACCAAAACATCAAAAGTGATTATTTTATTTTTTATGAACTAATCAAAAAGAAAAAAAAGAAATCATAAACTAAGGAGGAGAGTAGCGAGATGGACCTGGAAATATTTCACAATTAATTTGCTGAAAGTGATTACAAGACAATCCAGCAACAAACTCGAACACAAGACCGAAATGGCAATAGGAGAACTCTGTCGTGAACCTCGAACTTGGATGACAACTCCAACTGATTTTACACTTCAGATGCTTGGGACGTTTTGAAGCTCACAAACAACAGGAACGCAACTAGAACCTCGGTAGACGACAGGCTGGTCGAGCTGCGTCGGAGAAAACTCAAATCGCACCGACGAACCCGAACTCTACATCGACCTGGAGAAACCGAAGCTCAAAAAGCTGACTGGAATTGAAACTTGGTGTGTTTTGGGGTCTACAGCTGAGCTGATTTTAAAGCTGGTTTCATGAGTTTTTACATGGTATTTTGGAGGTTCTCTAATGGAGGTTTAGAGGGGGTGGTCGGCTGGTTTGTGTCCGTTTTTTGGTTTTTGTATGTGTGTGTGTTTCTCGCTGGGATGAGGGTCCTCGTCTATGTGTTCCGGCGAGTCGCCGCTGGCGGGGAGACGGGGAATGGAGGGTTGTTTTGGGGTGGGGTTTTGCTGGTCGAAGAAGAAGAGAACGTTTAGGGTGGGGGTCTATCTTTGCGCAGCTGCTCGTTCTTTTTGTTCCTAGTGTGGTTTCCTTCCTTCTTTTTGTCTTAGGCTTTTTCTTTTTATATTGTAGGTTTTTTGGTAGGATTTTAGGTTAAGGGGTATGGTCCTAGGAATTATGGGCTTGGCAATTGTGGGCTAGGTCCAAAATTAGGCCTAAAATGGGTTGCTCGAGCCCAAGTTCTATACTTTCGCTGCGAACGAGATTAAAAATACGGGCCCATTTATTAATTATTCCTACTATTCAAATAATTATTAAAATAAAACTAACCATTAAAACAAATCTATTTTGGTATTTTCAAATATCATATTAAAATAAAAATACGATACTATTGTTGTATATATTTTTTTTTAAGATATTTTTTTTAGATTAAAAATGACTACAAAACTTTAATGAACCTATTTTTGTGATTTTTTATTTTTCTTGTATAAATAAAGTAAAAGAGTCAAAATTACTTAAAATATCTATATTATGCCTAATTATATATTTACGCGCTAAAATATGAAAAATCTTAGGGAGGGTCAAAAATCACATGTCTACAGCTGCCCCTCTTTGACTGGAAACGTACAGAGTTTTCAGACAAAGACTAACTAGACATGTTTTTGACCCGACCCTTATTTGGAGAGACTAAAACTAAGAGAAAAGGAGGATGTGACCGAGCTCTTGGATTTGAGATGCCTACATATCCTTGGCTATAAAGGAATCAGGCCACGTGTAGTTCAGAGATGAGTGAGATGACGGAGTATGACGAGGTGGAGATCTGGTCGAGGTTCCGGTCCGCAGTCCCTGTTATTACATCAAAAGTCAAATGAAAAAGACTAACTAAAGCTTTCAACTACGAGTTACAAGGTTCCTATTTATAAGTTTTCTGAAGCTTGATCTTGAGTCTCTAATGGTTCTTCATCCAGACTTTAGATTTGAACCTTGATGCTTGCTAGTTGCAGGTGCTAGTTCATTCTTCTTCAGCTTTTCAGATCAAAACCGGACACACCATGCTTGTGACCTCTTGTCTCAGCTTCTGCATTTTTTATTCACTTCTTTTTTTTTCTTTTCTTTATTGTGACTAACTTCTGTTGATCACCTCGGACTGTTGACTC